CTTCCTCCCGAAGTCGAGGCAGTTGTTGCAGAATCTTTGTGGCTTCCGTGTATATGCACTTGATGACGTGCGATTTTCCACAGCCAGCGCCACCCGATACGAAGTAAAAAAAAAACTGTTCCGAATTTTGACCCCAGACACGCTTTTGACATCACTGTCGTACAGTGTAAAATACGGCTGCCTGTGTCTTGTTCAGACTTCTGTACAAGTTCCTAACAAACTCGGCACTCATCTGCGGTGCCTCTGTCTTGGGTACGACTCCATCTTCATGGTGAATCCGGTATTCTGGGACATCATCGTCTTCGTTGTCTTTGTCGGGACTTGCGTCTTCTCCTTCCGCGATGCACTCCAAGCGATCCACTTCGACTTCAGGTGCAAAGGCTGTCCAAGCATTCTCTGGCAGTCCTTCCTGCTGCAGCTTTTCGAATGCTTCATCCACTTGCCTGCTGTGTCTTTCAAACTTCTTCTGGTGTGCTTTCACTATTGCATGCACAGGGAAAAGGAGACCAGGATGCTGGGGTAGTTCCACAAATGCACTCTTGTAAAACCCCTGATACGTCGGATACCCTTTGGGTTTTAGCTGCGCATTGTGGTGATGTGGCACATACAGTTTCTGCAATCTTCCATAAAACTTTTCCGGTTGCTTCTCCTCCGAAAACCGAGCATACCTGATGATTGCAGCCTTACCGACGGTTCTCTTCTGAACGAAGCCCATACCGTTCAGCAGTTGGTGAACGTTCCTCCCTTCGGTTTGCCGACCGTACACGATACAGTAATTTGACGCAAAGTCTGCCAGACACATCTTCTCAAACTCCTGCGTTCGAGGCCTTGCTCTGTATTTTTCCATTATACCTGACATCCAGACGTCCTCTGAATCGGGGTCTTTCGTTTGCAGGACACTGAGGGGCAGACTCATCTTCAGGGCTTCGACGCTCCGCGAACACTTCTTCATCGGTAAGCTGCATGTCCGTGCCACAGACTCCTGGGCACTCACTTGCCTGTGTTTGGAGTAGGCCTGCATTATTTGCTTCATCTCATCCTCTTCGTTGACGTCTACTTCACGCACTCCCTTGATCACGTTCTTCAGGAAATCGTTCATTGCGTGCTCCGGCTTATACATATACATGATGCAGCTGTACGAGTCGAGGACATACTGAATGTCCATGTTGGCATTCCATGCCCTCAGCAAATCCGGATTGTATCCATTGACCCAAGCCTCCTTTGGATCACGCTTCAGCAAAACCACACTGGAGGTAGACAATGCCTTGGCATCCTTTCGGTAATCGTCCATGGATAAATTGCACTGTGTCAGCAGGTCTGACAAGTTGCCAAAAGAGGCTTGGGGATCGTTCAACAAATCCCACAACGGCTTCAGTTTCATCCGGGCATCATGCATTGCTCTTCGGGCAGCATCTGCTCTTGCCTTGCTTCTGGCTGCAGGGTCGCGGGCTTCGTCTTTGACCTCTTCGGGACGCTGGGGCCGTGGACGAGTGATCGTGGTGTCGGGCGTTGGTAGTTTGGGGAAACCAAATCTACACAACACTTTTCCTTTCTTACAGGACTTGGAGTGCTTCTTGTTGTGAAGCTGAACCTCTGCAACGATCTTATGGAGCTCAGGATCAGCTGTAGCATCAGGCAGCTGGCATGTCACGTAACGGTCAATGAAGTTGCACACATCCTTATCGGAATGATTTTCGAACTCGGGGGCATCCTTTACCCAAGCGAGTAAATGAACATGCGGGATTCCTCTGACTTGAAACTCGACCCGGTAAAAGAAGTCCTCAACTTTACCGATGGGCTGGGCAGGTGACAGAAGCAGATGAGTCATTAACGCATCCACTCTTTTCTCAAACATGCGCATGACTGTGACAGGGTTACTCCTGAGGATGTCACATTTGGTTGTCCAGTTGAGCTCTGAGAAGTCGATGTCTTCACCTTGCTGGGCCTTGATTACCGTTATCACTTCAGGCCAGTGCATTTCGGCTGCACTGAATGTGCAAAAGAAAGTAGGGGTTCCTAACTGTCGGATCATGGCCTGTAGATCCCTCAGCGTTTTCTCCCAGTATGATGGAGAGCCTCTCAAGGGTTGCATGAACCTTGTGGCATCTCTGTTGTGTACCAGCCTTTCAACCTCCCGATTGTCCTGCAGCAACCTGTTGGAGAGTCTGCTTCCGTCTCTCGTAACAGCTTTCCCTTTCCGCAGCTGGATAGACATGGTGTTCCTAGCGAGATGCGTTTCCGTCACAAACTGCGTGAAGAAAAGGTAGCTCTGTTCCCTTGCGAAGCGCGTGTCCACACAGAACAATCTCGTGTTGAAATACATACTTGGAGATAATGCTGTTTGCCTGGCCTCATCAATTGTATTCTGTCCAGTGGGGAACTGAACAGGGAAGGCCATGGCTTCCAGTTTTGGGATTTTGAAAAATCCAACTGGCTTTTTCCCCTGTGCAGGCGCGATGCTGAATATGCCCTCGCCGTATGCCAAGATCTCCTGGGCAATGTCAAGTGGCTGCATGCACGTGTCTAACGTGAGGCCTGGTCGAAGTTCATCCTTTTCCTCAATGCTCACGTGCTGCTCACC